CACGTTTCATATCACTTTCGCAATGGCTCAAAGCTAACGGTGGGAATTCGTTGGTGGCCGGTGCTCCGGCCAGCTAACTAAGGCACATGCGAGCATCCGGTTTCAGTTTTGCTCGCTGTTATTATCATATATGTCATTGCTACATGTGTTTTCTGGTTGGATTTGTCTTAATTATTTAGCTATTCAGCCAGCTACGTCGCCTATGGGTTGAAGCTCGGCTTCCTGCAGGTCATTTCGGAGATAATTTTAGCCACAGCTAACCTAGTTGTCTTCTATAGTGTGTGGATTCCAGATTGCTGGCTTCATGCACTATCCCTCTTCCTTACGAACACATATATAGTTTAACTTGGACCAACCATTTACCCTGATTCGTCCCTCAGATGGAGCACACGTAGTTTGAAGAAATTCAAGCGCATCTTCAGATGGAGATCCACACGAGTTCTTCTTGCAGACCGAATTTAATCCGACATTCCCATTAAACATGGAAGAACGGACTTGTCACAGATAAAAAGAGCGAAAGTATAGTTAACGTAGGCAAAGAGAGAAGGCGAGATGTAACTGTACAAAAGTAGCACGGACCGGTGGACTCCCCGTATGCTCCATATGTGAACATATCTTGACTACGTTATGCGTTATCTCACTAAATTGGGTCAAGTCATGCAATGCAGGTTGTGTAATGCATCACAAAGTCGAGTTTGGATTAGATTTACAAGGGATCAGAGATAAGAGACTTTTGAAGGGAATTCTATGAATGAGATACACCAAGGCAGAAAACGTTCCGGTGGTATTCCAACTGGCCATAAGGTGTGGCAAAACCTCAAGAGTGGCGTTTCAATAAAGTGTTCTTACTAAGTTCCAAGATGTATGTCGGCATGCGTGATTTCTACCTCTGCGGATCTGCTACACAAATACAAGATGACCCTGCAAACGACGATGTGACCCACTGAGAGCTCCCGGGGGCTTTGGTCTGCTTTGGGAAAAGTGATGGAGCAAGCACTTAACATCTTCAATCACTCTTCCTTTCGAAGTCTCAAGAGCAGCGGAGTCACGTTGGTGCGCGTCAAACCTGGGTAGCAAATTCCGCATGTGGCCTCACATAAGTGTGTACCATTCGCTGAAAAATGACAGGATCAAACTGACCAAACGCCGTCCGCATAGACCCATGTGTTGACCCGCTATTCTAGCTACTTTTTCGACCCGTCTTTAGCAACCGAGATTGTCCTGTATGAATACCTATGATCACTTCCATAGGAAGTGCGCTGCAAAATGTGCTCTAGTAGTCGATATTTGTAAGTTCTCTGATGGCGCATGCTCTGCGCTCTACATTTGGCGGCTTTGAACTCGAGCATGTTGTGGACTGACCATTCGAAAGCCTTGTCGAGTTCGTCTTGCAGTACTATGTGATTGTCTACCGTTCTGATGGCTCACAAAAATTGAGATTATGCCCAAAGAGTAAAAAGTTTGAGGTGATCTCTCCCATGAGGTCGTACATGAACACAAATAATACTCCTACTCCTAGTGCAGAACCATGTGGGAAGCAACAATGCAACTCTATCTGGTCGAACAAGACGCTACGAACCTTCGCATTCAGGTAGCACCGAAATAGGAATGCACACATCTAACGTACGGTAAGGTCAACGACCCCACAACTCTGAAGCTGGTAGTGAGGAATGTGGTGATCTAGACGTGAAGAAACCTTCGTGAGATCAAGCTAGGCAGCAACGATAGATTCCATCTATTTGGCAGGGGCTAAAAACGTTTGGTAGTACACGAGCTGTTTCTGTGGAAGCTTTGCTGTTCCGATAAGATTATATTGCATATTTCCAGATACCTAGTAAGTGCTTCTGTAATTCAATACGCGAAAGTCGCGATCTGGTTAGACAAGCAGTTTCACATCACGTCCCCAAACGAAGTTTCAGCGTTGGCGATGTATAAGGAGTAGTTGAAGAAAAGTTGAATGTTGGATCCCACGTCCCACAGGTTGTATCAAATGCGTCAGCCAAAACCTATGAAATAAGGTAGAATCGAAGATAAGAAGACGGGGTTGCCTACATGTGCTTAGTGGATGTTCAACTCGCTTTATCTTCAAAGGTGCGGCCACAATCCCAGGCTGTACTTCCCAGAGGTGGATTAGCCCAGTCAATAGTAAAGTGCGGGACTAGATGATCTTAATCCAGTCCTCGTCAACTTCGGGGGGTGTGCTCATGTTGATGATTTACACGAATTACTAGTAAAACTTTGGGAGCAGGAAACTGTCCCAACCGACTGAAGCCGCCCCCTTATTGTTCCGATCTTCAAAGAAGGCTCGCGTTCGGAATGTAGCAACCATAGATGAATCAGTCAGCTCTCCATCGCCTCCAATTTGCTTATCTCTCTCATCCTTCGCAGAATGACTGGCACTCGTAAAAGCCAGATTCGTGAATAACAAGCCGGCTTTAGTCGTGGTCAGGGATGCATCGACTAGATATTCACATTACGTCAGTTGTTAGACCACCATCACATATATCGGTGGCCCACCGTTGTCATGTTCCTCGACATCAAAGATGCCTTCGATACGGTGGATCGACGGGCAATTTGAGACTGACTGCTAAGGGAAGGTGTGCCCGAGGAATATGTAAATATTATCCGAGCATTATACGCGCGTAGCACGGGCGGAGTGAGGGCTTACGGCAAGCTGTCGCCGACCTTCAATATCTCCAGTAGTGTAAGAAGACAAGGTTGACCGCTGTCACCTTCCCTCTTCAACTTTGCTATTGACGAAGTCATGGAGATCGCTTTCACAAGACACGGCTTAGAAGGTGTGGAGTTGCTCCCAGGTGAACGAGTTCTTGACTTGGAGTCTGCAGACGATATTGCCCTCATATTTGACAGCTCCCAAACACGCCAGGCTGCACTGGACTGATTAGTACTGGCTGTCACCCGTTGCGGGCTATGCTTTGCTCCCTCTAAGTGCAAAGATTTACTCCAAGTTTGACAGGGACCGCTTCCTGCGCGGACCCTTGTTGGGGATCAGCTAGAAGTCGTTCAAAAGTTTGACTACCTCGGTATCTGTATCAGCGCCATAGAAATTGAAGACGAGGTCACAAACCGTATAGCAAAAGCCCCAGGCGCTTTTGTTAACACCATCTATGGCGCCGGCGCAACATCGCTCTCTCCCTGGAGAGTAATGTGCAATGCGGCGGTAATTTCGACCCTACTGTACGGTTGCGAAACCTGACCCACTAGATCAGCCGACTTAAAGAGGCTAGTTATGTTCGACCACCGGTGCCTTCGCAGTTTGGCTCATATCCGGTGGGAACACCCTGTGAGTAATGAGCCTGTTCGACACCTTGTTTATGGCACAGGAAGAAAAAGAGAACGGCTCGGCACCATTATTTCACTCAGCAAGCTCCGATGGTTCGGCCACGTATTGCGGATGCCAGCTAGCCCACTTACGCGACGTGCGCTGATTGTGCGCCGAGGTGCGGATGGAAGAAGAGGAGTGGTTGCCAAGTGATGACTTGATCAAGTGGAATGCAGGCCCTTACTTCGAAGTTGACGTCGGTTGTAGCTTCTGGGCTCCCTGGTTGGGGACCGAAGGATGAGGAACACGTTTGGCTGGATGCACGAGTTGACATGACTAAGAGCTGGCCTCAGTGGTGTTCGCGTTGTGAGTTTCTTTTTCCATTCCCCTCCCGCTTAGGTTCCCCTCTAACCAGGATCTCATCTATTAGGCACAATCTGATTCCTTTTTGCGGCACAATAGTCGGCTGTTAGCTCTCCGGAACGATGCCCATCCGTTACTGGTGACTCAGCTGGCGTGCCTCTGTTTCATTTTTTTTCTTCTCTTATGTATTGCAGCACAATAGCTGAGATGTGTTCCACCTTCAGCTAACGTATATAATGATGACGTCATAGAGTAGCAGCCCTAGTTCGACCGCATTCCAACTTGTGCAACTTCATCGGTCTGCTACGAAAACTTTGGCAACCGAGCAAGATGGTATAGTCCGGACAAGTTGGGGCCCATCCTGGCTGTGAATACGTTGGTTTCAACTCATCACAGAGTGAAAACTTCCCTCAGACGAGCAACCGTTGTTACTTTTTTAACCCTTTGAGGCACGTAAGAGAAATGACTAGCACCACACGACGAAACGCAAGCACTTTCCGATCGTTACAAAATGATGGTTTGAAGCACACAGACAATATAACTGACCGTTTCCGGTGTCCTATGACCTGTTGGGCTTGTTTCAAACCATTTTCCCATCATTCTGTGTGTAAATAAAATACGGGCGCGCATTTTAATGTTCTCAAAGCTAGTTTTGCTATCTACCTGTCCCTAGCCAGGCATGGAGGACAAACCCCGACAATTATTTTTAGCACCAACTGAGAACACTGGCTACATAGCAGCGAATCGTCTAAATGAAAAGTGTTTCTGTCCACGATGAGTGTCGGCATGCTGTTGATATCTACTATTTGCTACTTGACACAAAGCACCCACTAGAATGATATTTGTGCCTACCCCTTATTGTGTTGTTCGTTTGTTTTCTGATCAACTGTTTATCGACCATCTCAACCTGGAAAAGCTTGTGGCGTTTTACGTCAAATCAATATGTAAAAACCAGGGTCGAATATTGACAGTCACAATACCTGAAGCAAACCTCTAGCTGGCCAAAATGTAATTCGGGTAGGTTACTTTAATTAGTAGGCCTAAAGAGGTTGCTTTTTACTACTGGAGATGTACACGACCATGTGTCATTGGGAGAATAGCTGGGAATCGAATCCTGGGCGCAGAGCGCGCTGATGACAGACTGCGTTCAGTGTGCCAACGATCATGGTCGCCTCCACCCACAACACCCCAGGCCCCGACTAAGTTACAACGATCTTGTCCCGTGACCGACACGTGGCGGACTTTGTCGGCACAATAGCCGTTTTTCGTCTTGGCATGACAGCCGCGATCTTCCGATTGGCCGAGGATTCAGAGCACACACGAACGGTAGTTTGGACTTCGTGCGGATGATGATGCGCACATGTGTTGGGTCGCATAGGCATGGTAACGCGCGGACTGCCAGATAAAGCAGGTACATGGATTCGATTGAGTGATGCACCGGTTTTCGGATCTTACAAACGGGTTGCTAGATGGAGTGAGTCTAACACATCATTTCTGTCCCTGTTTAAGGAACGCTAGCTTAACACAGAGTCAAACTATGTCAATGCACTTGCGACAGATAGGTAGCTTATTCGCGCACATTGTGTACAACACGTATCAACATCACCTTGCCGTCTGCACATTTGAATAAGTGATACACTTGAATGCGAAATCCAGTGTAGGATTTAAAGTTCACTTCTGTGTGAACACTGATGAATGTTGTGTTATTTTAATGAGCTATGTAGTCTTAAAAATTTTGACATAAAAACCACCTTTTTCAGCTATATATGTTGTTAGCCGGGTGATCATATTGACATTGTCCATTGGGAGCATCATAAACAGCTCTGTGCCAATACTCGACAAAGTGGTTGAGATGACAAGTACCACCATCGCTGGTTGCGCAGCTTAGTTAGAGGAGGAGCGCGCGCTAATGCTCGGTGAAACGAGAGCAAACAAGACCAACAAACTGGACAAAATTTTCGTTTGAGAGCAAACTCCATGTATCAGGTAGGGATTAGGTGCTACCAGATCAAGAGAAGCAAGGGCAATAAGAATATTTGACAAGCCAATTGTTGGTTAGTGACCACGAAACTGATGAATCAAATGTCACCATACAGTTTCTATCAAGTTAGACCCCGATTCGTGGTTAAGTGGGACCTAATTGGGAGTGAGTACTAAGTTCGTTAATGTCAAGACACTGACAGGTAGCTTGCCCCCAAAATGAACGGAAGATTAACGATTGGCGGAAGCCGACCGAAGTCCGTTGCACTGGGTTTATAGAAAAGGCAAACTTCCCTTTACGCTGAGGTGAATGTTGCATACACTATGCTTCTTCACCGCAGTTGGGCTACACCGACTTACACTTTGTTGACTATCTCAGTTCTCCTATTCTGCCTCATTTTTCGTGTTCATTTTCTGTATATATTTTCCTTTAAATTCCATGTTGGTTATGTGATATCCCCGGTGTAGCTGCGTATGATGTGAATATTGACAAGGTGCCTACATGACCAGCAACCTGCACCAAGATTAGCAGATCCAGCAGACTGTGAATCGTTACTGGGGGGGGGGGGGGAGAACGGTCCTCGGGGCGGTGCTAGGCTCAAAGAGTGGTTTAATGTACACAGTGTGCAGTGCACTACGGTTCAGCCAACGCCTTGTGTACGCCTGTTATTCATGATCTGCAACTTAGGCATGCATACTACTGTTCTGCTTGTTAAAGTAGTGTGACTCAGCTCCGTTGACGTAACTTGGCTCGCTTCCACATGCCTCCCGGTCTTATTCCTTCGGGTTTACACTGGATATGGGATGTGTGATTGGAGCTGTGGGTGGTACAGCGCAAGCCACCCATGGTCCGTCTGTAGGCGCAGGCATCTTGTGGCTGGCCACAGTGACAGGAAAATCCCTTT